CTCAGTTCAATTACACACTCTCTGACTGCAGTACAATTACTCATTGCCCCGTCACGTTGTGACCGTCTTATATATACAAGACTAACATATATCTAGTAAATGCTAGGGCATTCATGAAGGAACAGGATATTTCTAGAAAGAGGTGGCATGATACTAGTCATGTGACCTCGCTGACGCAACATACCTATCAACTTAAATAAACACTAGTTAAAGATAAACTTAATTAATTTAGCATGAAGATAAAGCAGTGATAAAATACTGAAATATATTTGATTCTCAAATCTTAGGTTTAACAGTATAGTGTATTTATTCCCAGGCTAAAAATACATTGGTTAAGCACTGACAGTTTGTTAGGTATGGTGGGTGAAATGAGTGAGTTTTATTTGGGAACTTGGGACAGGTATGTACTTTTAAGGAAGCTAGCAGAGAAGATGTGTAATATGTTTGTAGAGTTTGCAGGTCAAAGGAAAAGTTGAAGGCTATCCTAATTAAAGAAGAGGCAATAGATATAGAGAAGTGTAACCTGTGGGGAATATTTTACATGCAAGGGATACATCAGCTAACAATGACTTTCAGGAAGTTACAAACAGTACTATTATGGCTAAAAGTAGTGGATTTAATTGTAATGAGCATGTTCTATTGAACAAGAGATTTCAACCCTTGGCTCGTGCAGATGAGGAACTATTGGAGGGATGGAAAACAAAAGGGGCAGAAAAGGATGTGAATGATAAATTTAAGGAGGTTATAAATGATTATTTGACAAAGCATGTGGATAGGATAATCTGTGGGGTAAATATGGAAAAAAGAATTAGATTATGGAACCCAGATATAACTGATAGAGCACGAAATATAATAAAGGGGGCTAGCAATGATGCATTTTCTTATGTGCACACAGCAACTAATGATGTAGGGAATGGCAGGTCAGAGGAGTTAACTGATAAGTACAAGGGATTGGTAAAGGCATTTAAAGAATAGGGCCATAACTTTGTTGTGTCAGGCATACTGCCAAGATTTGGAAATTAAATTATAAATAGGTCACTATGGCTGAATATTAGGCTTCAATTAATAAGTAAGGATGAGCAGTTTGGATGTTTGGACTTGCAGGACCAGTTTAATGGGAGAAGGGAGTTTTTCAAATGGATGGTTTACATTTAAATAGAGTAGGGCTGAATTGTTTGCAAAGGCTATTAACTCAGCCATAAGGGAAGTTTTAAACTAGGGCTAGAAAGCAGTAAGGGCCAGGATAAACTAAATGAAAAACAAATACATGTAAAGAAAAGTTTATCGTAGGAAATAAATATAGAAGTAGTTCTAAGGGTAGGCTTAATTGTTACTTACTACTGTAGTGCTAGAAGTAGAAGAAATAAACAAATGACTTTAGAGTTGGATATGTAGAATTGGATATGTAAGCCACTTGCTA